AAGCTTCTGCACCGACAACCGGGTTAGGCAGTGCCGATGTGTTTGTTCTGGGATACGAGGGCCGCCAATGGTATTATGCGTTCCAATGTGGATATGTCATGATTTCGCCAACTTTTCCGGGCATTTCCTACACAAATGCCCTTGCCGAGATCTGGGCACGTTTGCGGGGAAGCGCTACCGTTTATCGGAGCGTTAGTTCTCAGTGCTGGTTATCTCACCAGGTCACGTCCAGAATTCGTGTACTGCAGAATTGCAGTGAGTGACGAATGTCTCACTACACAAAATCCTGCAAGCCAAAATGGTTTTGAGTCGGCAAGTTGATGGGTTGTGATATGATGGTCCCACAATGAAAATAGCTTCCACAATTTCAACGCCTCTGCGCAGATGCTCATACTGAAGCATACTGCGTGGGGGGTGTGAATAGAACGGGGGCCATTATCATAAAACAAGCAACAGACAACCATCGTTGCCATTTGGCTCAAGGTTCAAGGCTCAAGCGCATGCTGTAGGTTACGATTCTCATCGTGCCATCGCAACAGCGGTGTCAGAAAAGATCGAGCTTACGGGAAGGGAGCCGGTCCAAGGCCTCGCCCCCTTTGCCAGGATAACACATTCACTGCGTTATCGGGGCATCAAGAGAACCCCTCAGTTTCTCATTTATATATATATATTTGTACATATGCATATACATATATATATATATTTGTACATATGCATTTACATAAGGATAAGCGTGTGCACCGCAATGAGTACCTTCCCAGACAGGCATGGATATGCGTAGAGAGACCAGTTTGTTATTTTGCTGTCAAGCTTCTTTTCTGTTTGTTTGTTCCTTCCTGGCTTTCTTACGCCGTTTCATTCTTCCTTCATTTCTTGACTCTCTCATTCCCTTCAACCTGTCAACACGGCATCTCTTCACTCGCATCTTGACTTATCTGTTGCTTGACTCCTCTGTGTGTTCCTCGATTACTCTATGTGTTGCTTGACTTCTTGATTTGCTGGTTCTTCATTTATCTCTCCCTTCATGTGCTCTTTTGTTCCTCAGTTCCTCCATTCCTTCGCTCCTCCGCTTCCTTCATTTTTTCATTTTTCTTTCTTCCTTCTTCCTTCCCGCCCTCCCTCCCTTCGTTGTTTCTTTCCTTCCTGTCTGCCCATTCATGCATCCATTCATGCACTCACCCATTCACTCACTCACTCACTCACCCACTCACTCCACTCCACTCCACTCCACTCCACTCCACTCCACTCCACTCCACTCCACTCCACTCCACTCCACTCCACTCCACTCCACTCCACTCCACTCCACTCCACTCCACTCCACTCCACTCCACTCCACTCCACTCCACTCCACTCCACTCCGCTCCACTCCACTCCACTCCACTCCACTCCACTCCACTCCACTCCACTCCACTCCACTCCACTCCACTCCACTC